ACAGGACCAAGTCTGAGAAACTGTCCAATGTCGATATGAAGACGAAATCAACACCAAACAGCACCGATTGTGAAACTGAATACAATGAGCTCTGAATCGAGGCGATACGAATGTTTTCCTAACCGCAAGGGATTCGCGAACACACGACCAAGTCTGACAAACTGTCCAATGTCGATATGTAGACGAAATCAACACCAAACAGCACCGATTGTGAAATGGAATACGAGGAGCGCTGAATCGAGGCGATACGAATGAATCCGGAGACGACCGCCATTCGCGAACACACAACCAAGTCTGACAAACTGTCCAATGTCGATATGAAGACGAAATCAACACCAAACAGCACCGATTGTGAAACTGAATACAATAAGCTCTGAATCGAGGCGATACGAATGTTTTCCTAACCGCACGGGATTCGCGAACACACAACAAAGTCTGACAAACTATCCAATGTCGATATGAAGACGAAATCAACGCCAAACAGCACCGATTGTGAAATGGAATACGATGAGCGCTGAATCGAGGCGATACGAATGAATTCAGAGACGACCGCCATTCGCGAACACACGACCAAGTCTGACCAACTGTCCAATGTTGATAAGAAGACGAATTCAACGCCATACAGCATCGATTGTGAAAAGGAATACGATGAACGCTGAATCGAGGCGATACGAATGTTTTCCTAACCGCACGGGATTCGCGAACGCAAGACTAAGTCTGAGAAAATGTCCAATGTCGATATGAAGACGAAATCAAAACCAAACAGCACCGATTGTGAAACTGAATACGATGAGCGCTGAATCCCGGAATTACTACGTATTTCAGAGACGCCCGACCTTCGCGAACACATGAGCAAGTTTGACAAATTCTGCAATGCTGCAATTTTGACGATACCAAATGCATAGAGCGCGGATTGAGAAACGCAGTTGGATGAACACTGAATCCCAGAGATACCACGGATTTCAGAGACGCTCGCCATTCGCGAACACATGACCAAGTCTGCCAATTCTGCGATGCTGCAATTTTGGCGAAACCAACTACATAGTGCGGCGAGTGGGAAAGTGAGTACGCTGAGCCCTGAATCCCAGAGATACCACGTATTTCAGAGACGCCCGCCATTCGCGAACATATTACCAAGTCTGACAAATTCTGCAATGCTGCAATTTTGACGAAACCAATTGCATAGAGCGCCGAGTGTGAAACTGAGTACGCTGATTAATGAATCCTAGAATTACCTCGTATTTCAGAGACGCCCGCCATTCGCGAACACACGACCAAGTTTGACGAACGTTCAAATGTTGCAATGGAGACGAAACCAACAGCATAGTGCGCCGAGTGTGAAACGTAGTACCATGAGCATTGAATCGCAGAGATGCGACGTATTTCTGAGACGCCCGCCATTCGGGAACACTTGACCACGTCTGGCAATTTCTCCAAACTCGCGATCTTCAGTATACCATTTTCATAACGCTCCGATTGTGAAACGTAGTGCGATGAACATTTCAACGCATGGAAACGAGTCCTTTAAGAGACGACTACCATTCGTTAACATATGGTCAACCTCTTTGGGATTGAATGTCTGTGTTTTTTTAGGGCCTAATTATTAAAAGGCATCTAGCCATTATTGCCTATCTTTAGCCTATTTTCATAGCCTATCTTTATTGCTTTTATTCCATTTATTTAGCATCTGAACTCAGCAAAATTTTCATTGAATCATAATTACCTTCTTGACGAGATATTTCTGCCTGTTAATAAGGCTACATCATCATTAATGTTGCACTCTAGCAGCACAACTGCTCTATTATTATTACATTCTCATGTGGGTACACTTTAACAAATTTTTCACTTCCCAGTGTCTGCCTGGATTGTGTTACCTTTTCTATTTTTTTAAATGTAAATAATGGTAAAGTCTGCTTTCATAATGTCCCAGCTGGAAACAGTTATAATGTTCAGCTGGATCCCAGCGTTAAATACTGAACTATTCCAACTGGGCTGCAGTTATAATTCCTATGGCATGAAGAGCTCTAAAATTCCAGGCATAAACAGCTAGTAGTTACTATTTCACAGCTCTTTGGCAGCTGGAACTTTTTCCTAATTCATACATTTGGTCAAGCCTGAATATTCCAGTTGGGATTTTCAACTGGGATGAACCCCTATCAGCTGCTTTATTATCAGTCACCAAAAACTCAAAATGCAATTAAATGTTTCTGGAATGAATTTTTTAACGATTGGGTATCAACAGAATTTGTATATTTATTATTGATCTAATGTGATTTGGGCAGACTACTGATTAAATAATTAATACCAAATAACTTTTATTTGTAATATGGAGGGAGTACAGTCTATGGCATGGACTATGGACTATGGCATGGGAATAGTTCCAAATCGCATTGAAGAATAACAGTAACAACTAAATATTTATATTCACTAAATATGTATTATGCATTGTATATGAGGAATATTCATGAATGAAGAGCAAGTGATGGTAAATAGGGAAATGTCAATGGTAGTCAAGGTAACGAGCAGTGTTCCTCGGGGCTTCTTTCAAGGACCACATCTTTTTTCGTCTTTATCCACAACTTAGATCAAGGTCTAGAGGACGAAATCAGCAAATTTGTTGACGATACCAAAATAGGCTGTTCTATTCGGGAGGAAGTGTATAAGATGAGAGCCAAGCAAGACAAGTGTGACAAGTGGAGCTAGAATTACTGATGAGGTTTAATTAAAGTAAGAATGAGGTTCTTCGCATTGGTCATAATAATGATAGTTCACTGAATGAATTTGGAGTAGATGAACTATGTGAAGCCAGAGAGGAAAATGACCTTCAGATTACTATCAATGAAGAACTCAAACTTTCCACACATACATGAGTGAAAATAGTGATATGCTATAGAACTAAAGGTTTCATCTATTGTTCCAGGCAGTAAGAACTTATGCATCTTTCTCCCATCATATGCAGCACTAGTAAGACCCCTTTTGGAATATTTTATTCAATTTTGGAGGCCTTTGAACAAGAGGGAATTGGTCACACTCGAGGGGGTCCACAGGAGGGCCATGCAAATGATCAAGGAGCTTACAGGACTTCCATATGAAAAGCGTATGAAAGTGTTAGGGTGTTACTTGCCCAAGAGAAGACAAGGGGGGAATCTCATCCAGGCTTTCAATATCAACAATATCTCCAAAAGTTAACATCATAAAACAGTCCAACATAAAACAATCAACCCTCAACTGTGATATCTTCCTGTTAACACCAGATGAGGAGTTACAGTCCCATGTGTTTGGCATGTGGTAGCATGTATGTGTATAAATCATAGCAGATAATTAGAAAACAAATATTTTACTTCAACTGGTCCAGACTTTCTTTTACTCAACTTATAAGGAGGGCCATAAACATTCATAACACATAAATTTCATACATTTTCATGCCCCAAGAAAAGCAAAGAGAAATAAATATGCAGTATATATATAGAGGGTTGGCCAAAAAAAAAAACAAACCTATCATTTTTGTTGAGTTGACAATCTCTTTGTAGGCTGCTGATTTTAATTTAAAATTGGTAGACTGATAGATTGACACAACTGGAGTTTCTATACCAAATTTCAGCTTTCTTGCTCTATATAGACATACATAGACTATATAGTTATAAGAGCTGTAATTATTTTCTGATGAACACCCAAAAAATGTGATGTCGAAAATATTGATATGAATTTGAAGCTGGGATGAAAGGGAGGTCCAAATTCAAGAACTTCCATCCCAGCATGATGCTACAAAGGATGATTGGGAAGCATGATGCTACAAAGGATGATTGGGAAGCATGTCCTCAAAGGTTTATTGCCCAAGCCATTGATCTGTGGTGTTGCAGACTATATGCTAATATTCAACAGAATGGAGGGCATATTGAGCACCTTTTCAGTTGAAATGAATGTCCTAAACCAAATTGTGGGCTTTTCTGTGCATTTGTTTTTGTGTTGCTTGTTTGTTTTTTGTTAGTTGTGAAAGATTTTAAGCTGGAAAGATTTAAGCTGAAAAAAAACGAACACTAACTTTTTTGGCGATGAAAAAAAAAAAATTAATTAAATGCCAATCTCACATTTTTTGGAAATTTTATTTGAAACTTGGCACACAAACCCTAATTGAGTCACCCTATGTGTCTACCAAATTTTATAAAAATTGGGAACCCACAATCAGATTGACAACTTGCCAAAAATGATAGCTTTGTTTCTCTTGCGCCACCCTGTATACGAGGTGTGGCAATAAAGTTCCAGGACAGATTTTTTTGTGAGCCTGTCAAAATTGCAAAAATTATTTCTATTCCATGGACTAATAGATTAAACTGTTGGGCAGTGTAGTGTCAGTCCTCATCTGACTAGAATCTTGAATGATAATTTGGCAGGCAATGTAGTAACTCAGTGTGTAAGGCATCTGTCATATTCCCAGAGTGAAGCAATGCTTCATCACATTTTGTCTCAATCCTGTCAATACAGCTGCAGCGATCCATCAAATGTTGCAAGAAGTGACTTGACAAATTGTCTTGTCATACTTCAAGAATCTTGAATAGTTTTCAAGGTTTTCAGCCAGTAAAAAATAATGGTTGGTTCAGCCATCCCTTGGGTGAATGTTTGGGGTTGAGGTGGATCTGAGTGTCTTCACTACTTGCTAAAGGCCTTGAAGGTCATTCAAAATTATTGGAGCATAACAAGGAACTTTTCAAGACACATCTGCAACATCTGGATTGTTGCAGCTGCATTGACCAGTTTTAGACAAAATGTGATACAGCATTGCTTCACTCTGGGAATATGACAGCCACCTTACACACTGAGTTACTACATTGCCTGCCAAACTCTCATTCAAGATGCTAGTCAGATGAGGACTCACACTACACTGCCCAACAGTTTAATCTATTATTCCATGAAATGGAAATAATTTTTGCAATATTGACATACTTAAAAAAAAAATCAGTCCTGGAACTTTATTGCCACACCTCGTATATACAAGGTCTGTCCCAAAAGTATCCGAACTTCAGTTACAAATCAATTTCCCAGGTGATATTTATCATTTTTATTATTGATTATTCAAAATACGTCCCTTCCGAAGAAATGCAGGCTCTGCAGCGATCATACAACTTTTGGAAACACCTCTGGTAGTCTTCCTCCGAGATGGCGGAAATAACCTTGGTCGAAGCCTTTTGGATGCCCAAAATCAAGTCGAAACGCTTTCCTTTCAACTTCACTTTTAGTTTGGGGAAAAGGAAATAATCACAGGGTGCCAAATCAGGCAAATAGGGTGGGTGGTCAAAGCACTACAACCCCTTTTGAGGCCAAAAAGTTCCGCACAATGATGGACCTGTGAGACGGAGCATTGTTGTGGAGGAGAGGAGAGATCAGCTGCATGGTGCTTGGTATCAAGGACGGACCTGAGCAATTCCGGCCAGCAAACACTTCATAATGGTGAGGTAGTATTTGCCATTTACCATCTGGCCTTCTGGAACAAACTCCTTGTGGATAATCCCAGCCAAATCAAAGAAAGTGATTAGCATTGTTTTCACTATTGACTTCTGCATGTGCACTTTTCTTGGTGTTGGTTCTTCTGGAGTCTTCCAAACTGGGCAATGGTGCTTCATGAGTGGCTCATATTGAAAACACCATGTTTCATTGCCAGTTACTATGGTTTTTAAAAAGTTTGGGTTATTATTGGTGATTGAAATGATGTCTTGGGCATGCAGCACTCTGGCTTGTTTTTGATCATCGTCCAATGAGTGCGGAACAAATCGTGCACAGACTTTTCGCCGCTGCAAATCTTCGGTCAAAATGCAGTAAACTTGTGATTTACTGATACCTATGATATCCTCAATGAGTCTCACGGACATGCAACGGTCGTTTTCGATCAAATCATGCACTTTTTCCACTGCTTCGTCCATTTGACTGGTCAAAGGGCACCTGCTGCGTCCATCGTCTTCCAACTCGTCTTCCTCTACCATTCCGAAACTTTGCATACCACTCGTAAACTGTTGTACGTGATAGTGCTTGTTCTCCATTAGCCTTCCGCAACATCTCGAGCGTCTCCGTAAATGTTTTCCCCAATTTTACACAGAATTTGATGTTAGCTCTCTGCCCCATGGTCATTTCTCGACGAGTGTCATAANCTCGAGCGTCTCCGTAAATGTTTTCCCCAATTTTACACAGAATTTGATGTTAGCTCTCTGCTCCATGGTCATTTCTCGACGAGTGTCATAAGGGTACTGTTACTTTTGGCGCCCTAGGCAATGACTCATTCGTCTTAGCCCAACCAAACTCAACAGAGTAATACATGAAGGTTCAACCAATAGAACGCCACCTTCTTTCAACAAATGGCACCACAAATACTGTCTGCATAGAAAAAGTTTGGATACTTTTGGGACACACCTTGTATATATATATATATATATACAGGGTGACAATAAAGTCTGTGGACACGTATTTTTGTATTTATCTCTGAGTAGATTGAAGCAAATGGGTTTCTTTTTTTTCTGCACAATGAACCTACTTAGAGTGACCAACAATGTAATTCTTGTTCAATGTAGCCGCCCATGGCATTAGCAACATTCCTCAAACATGTGAGGAATAATTCAGCTGCAGCTCGCGACACTTCTTGGGGTCTTTCTACCCAATATTTATTCTAGGAGATGATGAGAGAGGCTAAGCTCCTGTTGGGTTTGCAGTATGCCTTCTGCTCTATTATGACCAAAATCGAGAAGTCCATAGCGTTTAAATCTGGTGAGCTGGAGGGCCATTCGTCAGGGATGATAACATCCGGAAAATTGGTCCGGAATCTGAATTGTGACTCTGGATGCATGTGAAGATGCAGAATCCTGTTGGAAAGTCCAAGGTTGGCCCCCAAAGGTCTTAGCTGCCCAAGATTGGGCCAGAGCTTCCAGAACCTGCCGGCAGTAGTACTCCTCGTTCACCTCAACCTCTGGGCAACAACATGAATGGGAGTTTTGTGCTCGGCAGTTATCCAACCCAAATCATGATAGAATTGAGATTTTGAACAGGCTTCCGGAAGAAGCCAGGGTGGTGCTTGTTCCGGAGCCAGAAGTGATAAATTTGGCGAATGAAATGCTGAGCTACAGTGAAGATCTTCTCGTCGGTAAAGAGAATTTTCTCCCATCCCTTGCGACCGAACCTCTTGAGTAGCCCTTTCGCTTTTCGCAGCTTGGCTTGTTGCTGTGCATGGGTTAGCAGCTGCACCTTTTGAACGTTGTAAGGCTTCAACTTTAGCCTGTCTTTGGCTATCTTTCGAGCAGACTCGCTGCTAATACCAAGGGGGGAGGCAATAGAACGCATGAAGAGTTTGGGGTTTCGTCTGAGCAGTTATCGCATACGTTTTCTGACCGTGGGGACATGGACAGTTGCTGGGTGGCCGCTCCTGGGGTAGTCAAGACTTATAACAAGCTCCTTGAAGTGTTTCACTGCCTTGTAGATGCTGGACCGTGGCGTACCAAAAGGACGAACACATTCTGCAACTGAATTTCCAGATTTGTGGAGGCCGGTGATGGTTTCGCGCTGGTAAAAACCCTGAGGTTTTTGCACAAAAGAGTTGAAACTTTGGGATCTAGTACATGACAGCATCGCTTATGCGCACGCGAAAATGTCATTATTTGATTAATATGGTAGGGAGAAAACTGAGTCTACAGACTTTATTGTCACCCTGTATATATATATATGTGTGTGTGTGTGTGTGCGTGTGTGTGTGTGTAAAGAACGTAGATATAAAAAGTAGTTGGCCAAATTAGCAATTACCCAAATGGGCAGTGAAACTGCACTCATTCAAGGTGTGCCTATAGATTGAATAGAAGAAGACTGCAATGTTCCTCCCAGCCAAAGCCACCCCACGGCAACAGGCAGGAAATGTCCGGCCTCTAGCCCAGGAGAAGAGGGCAGAAAACCATTGAATCCTGGAAACATACTATGCCAAAATAGCTTGCAGAGCTGGGGCAAAGCTTAAGAAAGTTAAAATGGAGAATGGATAGCGAAGGATCCCATCCTAATAATTTGTCAGGCAGCTTGTGTCGTCGGGGTTGAGGCTGCAAGTCTGACTACACAAACCCTACCCAGAAAGTTTCTACTGCCAGGTGCTACAGCCTATGGAATTAAACAGTTAGACTGTACCTAATGCCCCAGAGGCAATCACGGCTAAGTCCATCTGTCAGTGCCACAACTGAAAAACAAGAAAAACTTAAAAACATTTGTGTGAATATTTATGGCCAACCCTAAAATATAAGAGAGTTTGAGGAAATTTTTGCTAATAGATTCAAATCCTAACTGTACAAAGAATAATGGACCAGCATAGTTAGTCATGAGGAATAATAATTCTCTTGAAAAAAGCAAGATATTAGAAACAGCTTTTAGGAAAAGAAAATCCATCAGACCTAGACTCAGCAGCATGAGTGAAAGAGATGAGGGCAGCATTGATGAAGGACATGGAATGGGCATCATTAAGCAGGCCTTAGTGGCTCATCAACAGGGAGATCATCCCGATCCCCTCGCCCGAGCAACTTTGGAAAGCTTCCCAGTAGAGGAGGAATGTAAGGGCAGCATCTGATACATGTAGTCCCTGTGACCTTCTTCCTTCACATATGCTGGCAATGATGTCCTCAGCCCACAACCCTGCAAGACATAATCAGTTCAATTCCATTGCATCTGTTTCTCATGAGGGGCACATCTGTGCTGGGAACAGTGATGGGAAAATTTATAGTTGACTCCCAAAGTCAAATTCTCAATACCTTTTGAGAAAAAAAAATACTTCGTTTTAGTTGCCAACCCCAAAAATTTTTGACAAAAAGCACATTAAATCAATATCACAGACCAAAGCACTAACTGTACCGCTGCTTATTTTTATGAAACATTCTGCATAGAAAGCAACTGCAAAATATTAGTGCAATTGAAACCAAACATGCAAGTTACATGCATTTTGGAAATTTTTTGAATCAATTGAACTCCCCAATTAAATACCACTCAAACACCTAACAAAATCAATCTTTTTAGAAAAATTTAAACATGTTCAGTTCCATTTCAATTGCTATTCAATTGGCTCACAATTTGCCCATTGCAGAATGAGACCGCTAATTCCACACAGGATCCTGGACCTTTTCAAGCCCATGCTACAGAAGGATCTCACTCTGCTGGTTCTCCTTCAGAATCTAGTTTGATCTAAGATCTCTCCATGAAACTTCCTGCAACGACCAGTAGTTGTACCCGAGAATCCAATTACTCTCCATGTTCATTCATATTTGCTGATAATGGATGGGTGGAGTAAATTATGCTCTGACAATGAGGAATTTAATCCAATAGAAAATTTTGTCCAAACGTGAACTTCACTTCACATAGATTTTATGGTGTAGGAATTGATCACAAGCAGTGAATTCCAACTCTGTCAGGACTGATTAATGACTTTTCAACAAATTCGTGGAATTGGTTTACAAGATATTGGATCATAATTATTCACCAACAGACAATTACACAATATACAAAATTGAAAATTCCTTAAACACTTCAATGCAATATGTTTCTTGACCTTCTTTACCAGCAATGATTTGCATGAAACAAAACTATATACAGGTTAAAAGTAAAAAACCTCAAAACATTATCAGTAAACTATTCATAAAGGATGTGAAAATTCACAGCTACATGTGACATAACTCTCACCTGAAAAGTTTTAGGTGACTAATAAAACCTGATGCTGAAAAGAAAGTACAAATGAGCCACAATGAAAATTTATCAATATAACTACATAAGATGGAATAAATGGACAAATATAGTGGTGATTCATGGAACTCAGACCATAAGGGACCAGAGCTGAGCAACAGCAATCTAGGGTGCAGTAAAGCGGGACAGGCAGAGGACACCTGACGAGCCCTCGATGGAGCAGACCTGCATGAAGCAGCTGACTGGCTGAGATGGTCAGCCCCACACTGGTCTTGGTGGTGTCATGGCCTCCCCCAGCAGGCTCGCTCCAAGACCCAAGGGATCCCAATGACAGGCAAAGCAGTGACTCCAACTTCCCCTCCCCATCCTTGCAGGGCCCTGGATGGAAACAAAAGAGATCAATCACACAGATTAGGAAAACCTTCCAAGAGGAAAATAGGTCACATCATAAACAACATGCTGATTGAAAACAACAAAATAATGACTAAGCATATATACAGGGTGGCTCAGAGGAACGGGAAATTTTTGAATGGAGATTTATGGAAGAGAAAAATATTTTAAATACATTTATTCATGACAATTAATAGTACAGAGTATGCCATTGATGAATTGCATACCAACATTTATTTCTTGAAGATGACATCAAGTAGGTGACCCCCATCTCTGCGCAGACATTCCTGTAGCTGAGCTGGTTTTCACTGGGCCCAATAGTGAAAATTTTGTTTATTGACGAATCCATTCAGGTGGAAGTGGGCTTCGTCTGACATCTACAGGTTGTTAATGAAATCCTCATCCTCTTTTACCTCTGCCATCATTCGTTTACAGAATTGTCGCCACATTAGGTGATCATTGGGTTTAAGTTCCTGGACGATTTGTAACTTGTACGGATGGAACTTTAAGTCCTGCGACAGTATTCTTTGAACACTCGAATGAAATTGCAAAAAATGCAACTGTAAAGAAATTGCAAGACATCGAACTGAACGTTGTGAGCTTCTTATGACAGCAGCTTGAACTGCCTCAATATTGTCTGGCGTACGAGTGGTTCGCACACAACCTGCAGGTTTCTTTTTCAGAGCCGAACCTGTTTCCTCAAAATTCTGTACCCATGTGTTAATTGCATGTGCTGACGGAACACGATCATGACGTCCTAAATTGAAGTGACATCGAAATTCTCTACACTCAGCCTCCACACTGTCATTGTTCTTGTAAAATGCTTTGACCACAAACATACTTTGTGCACCACTCCACTGATCCATGATAACTAAAAGGCAAGATGTCGTAAGGTGGGTTTCATATGTCATTCAGCGCTACCAACCTCCCAGGGCTGACAAAACAATTTTCAAAATTTCCCGTTTCTCTGAGCCACCCTGTACTAAATAGGCCTTCACAGGAAAATATACAAAGCAAGGAACTCAAACATGAAGCTGGAGGGTGATTAAGAAGTCATTGTGATATAGAGTCTTGTGATATAGATATCTGTGAGTAGAGTTCATGATATGATGCAGGGAGCCCCATTGTAGATGGGATGTACAGACAATTCCACATCACGGATGGTGCAAATATTTGGTGTATTACATGTGAATTTCTGTCTTCAATGATGACATGTGATGTGCAGAATAGTACTAAATTAAAGCCACAAAATGAATTAATTTTACTGCCCAGTGATTCCTTGATCACCCTAATTCATTAGGCATGGTTTCTTTCACTGTTCTATTTTTCATTGGAAGACTTGCCAAAATGTAAACATGCTTGCACTAGTGTCAATCTGGTTGGCCTTAACCCCTTGTCTTTCAAGAGAGGCATGAGAAATTGCTAACAATTCATGTTAGCATTGTTTTGAAGCAGTCAAACTTTTGGTAGGGACTCGTGTTAAAAGTACCATTAAAGACAGCAAGGAAAAATGGACAACATGGCTGCCATATCTGTTAATAAGTCTAATGGAGTTTGCATTCTTTGTAGGGGGTAGGGGGGATTGGAATGGGAAAATACAAATTAGCTTCATAGTTTCACTGATGTTAACTAATGCCCTTACCAATACTTGCTGGGATTTGACAATTGAAAAAATATGGCTGCACCTCAGCATGTAACAGGTAGATTCAGGTCAGAAAGGGAAGATCTTGCAAGAGAGAGGCAAATAAGATGATCTGAATGCAAAGGGCATTCTGCATAACTGACAATGATGGAGGAGAGAGAGGACTCATACAAACCCTCCTTCTGGTCTCAACTCCTTCTGCTCCAGAAGCCAAGGACCACATTCACTGAGCCACAGGACTCCTCCACTGATTCCTAATGGGCACAGGGAGAAAAAGTTTTTAAATGAACTTGTCATCGGGGATCATTGATGAAGAACTGGAGAAGGAAGCAGGAGAAATGCATGTTTCCATGCCCCTTTAAGCAAGTCTATTTATTTCTAAAGGACTGAAATATATTCTTGATTGCTCATGTTTCCTAAATAAATTGAATATATGCTTCAAATTAAAAGTTTTCAATGTTTTAAAACATAGCTTTCCAATATATGCTGATGGAACTCTCACCCTAACAGATGCATCAAGCTCATGCACTCTGTGAACAACACAATTGCATGAGATGCAGTGACAGGAAGATTGAAGGAGGAATTAAAAAGGAAGAGAAAGAAACAATTACAGAGCATGCAATAAGTAAGGCCAGGGCAGCCAGAGCTCCGACACTAACGGCTTCCAAGATCCTCCCTACACTCAGTGGTCGAGGGATGGGCCGCACTGCCTCGGTTTCCTTTGCTGCCTCTACTGGTCCCTCCAGTTCCTTGGTTCAGATAATAAATTAAATAATAATCCTGTAAATCTATACCCAGCTCAAATTTCTCCTTATTTCACCAAGATTTTGGAGAAAAAAAAATGGCCATCTCCATCTAAGGCTTCGTTTTTTTTTTGCTGATTAGGACATAGCTAACAAGACCTGACCTTTCCAATTATATTCAGCACTGGAATGAATGAATCTCTTAGTTTCAAGCAAACTTATAGCCATTTGTGACTGAAAATATACTATCCTTCCTTAATTCCCTGAACAGCAGCAACATAATGATGAAAATCTCTCAGACAGACCTTAGAATGAAAGCCATAACTCCATGTATAGAGGCATGCCCCAGGTAGATGACATTGCTCGTGGGCATGATTTGAGGCCAAGGTCTAAATGAGAGCAGGACTTGTGTTGAGCTTCCATGTTGCTCTCATTTGACCAAAGAAGGTTCCCAGGCAACGTATGGTTTCCAGGTCTTCATGGTAATAATATGGAATATGTCTTGAAGAGATGAGAAGACAGCATCTTCAGAGAAAAATAATAGAATCGTAAATTCACTTAAGGGTCCTTGTCAGGGTGAAGTCCTGCAGGTGCATCGTGGTTGCCAACAGTAGTCCTAATTGTAATATATCAGGATACCTTATCATACCTTATACCCCATTGCCCACATTCCTTGTCCCTACACATGCAATTCCACATTCCATGCAGGAATTTGCCCAGTGGATTCAGGGAAATCTACTCATAGCTAAGAACAAGTCAAGAATCAATGCAGGACAGAACCCATCATTTCAAACTATTCATTAGATGGTTTATGGTTGAGATTTTCAATTGTATAGTAGTCTTAATTCTGCATTTAACATTGATTCTGGCTCATATATCTATTAAATAAATTATGATTTTCATATGCAGACAGTCCATGAGAGCATGTCCAGAAGACCTCCATGAACATGGAAGTACATCATAGCAAGTCACAAGATTGCCTGTAGCTCATGTGCAAGAAGAATCAAAAATATGCCTCAGAAAAAGTGTTCAAATATCCTTAGCAGATGCAGAGGCAACATAGGACAAGAAGAGTGGCCCATCTCCACAGCTCACTGGCTCCTCCAAATCCAAGGAGGTTGTAAGCCAGCAGCAGGCACAGTTCACCCAGTCCACATCCTGCAAATGATCAATCACCCTTTCTGTGCTCAGTCAGATCCAATGCATACTTCTGGTTCCCAACTGGAACAGCTAGGAGCAGTTAAGGTATTAGTTCAAATCATCAATGATGTTTAAACTGTCATGTCAACTGAGGCCCTCATTAGTCTCTCTTTACTCCTACATATTCACTTGAGTCCAGAAGGAAGAAAAAAAAATGCAAATCCATGCTCTCAGCTTCATTAGGCTAAAAAAACATTGAGACAAGAAAAATGACTCTCAAAGAGACAACATGCATGGGTCTTCACTGCAGAAACCTCTCCACATCAGCCAGGTGAGTTGCTGATAGTGCTGTGAAGGCAAACTCATCATATAATCCTAAAAATAAGGACAGTGCCCACTGTAAAATCAACTTTGTGACTCTATCTGATAAAATGCTATGGGGATGATAATGTTAGAACAATAAAAGGTGGAGACAAAATAATAAGCAGGTTGAATGTGATGCCAAATGTTGACTGGCATACAAAACTACTAGGGTATACTTATGTTGATTTTAGTAAATGACAATCCAAATGATACAGAGAGCCTAGATGGAGGTATAGAGGGATATAGCTTTTTACATAGAAAAGAATCTACTCTCCTGGATGATAGCCTAGTATTGCATACCTAGCAAAGGAATATAAAGAATGACCTTGGATCCCCTGAGCCTCTGTGGGGAAACAATTTGTCCTTGAATTTGCCCAGAACAATTTCTCAGTATTAGCTCTAGTGTGCATGAGTGTTTTCCATTTTTGTTTTCACAATTTACAGGTAAGTGAACAAATAAATTGGTTCACATACCTGTAAACCTTTGGTACCAGTTGCCTTCCACAAAGGAGAGATACATTTTTCCCACAATCCTATTTCCTTAGCTGAGCCAATTTGAAAATTTTTCTTTGCATCACACAGAGATTCCTTCAACTTTGCCTTTTGATTATGATCACAGTCAAAGTCATGAGGATCGAAAGTAACCTCCAGACACACCGCCCGTGTAAAACGGGCACGACAGAGACACTTGTTGACCACGACTGCACTGCCTCTAAGCAGGTTGAAGAGACTCAATGCACATGCAGTCAGTGTTCCACCCAAAGATTCACATCACCTACCAGGAATGCGACCATTTTTGAATCGTCATCTGGTCCTCGTGTCATCGGTTATGACTTCATCTTTCCCATATGCTATGATTGCTATATGCATGTATCAAATTCTTCAGCAAGAAAAGACATACTGTAATGCATAAAGCTAGGCTTCCAAATAAATATATACTGACTCCTTAAGGATCTCATCAAAGAGAGTGGAGCATGTTTCCTGGCGAACCAGACCAGAAGATTCAGCCCCTCCAGAAGGGGGCCAGGTTGGACCTCTCACCCAACAATTGGTGATAGTTACAAGGTACAACTTATAAACAATGATCTGAGAGCAGGGGAATCAAGTTCTCTTCGTGTGCAGTGGCCCTACCTTGTTGACACTACAGCAAATTTCAATCGATCCAATGCTGGCTCTCTAAGACAAAACAGATTTCCAAGCCCTTAGCAAGGCTTAGGCCCCTAGCAAGGCAACTTTAACCTCGTGAGACTCGGTGTCTGGTCCATGGGACACTGAGTCATTTCTTCTGAGTTGGGAATTTCAAACACTGATGGTGACAGAGAAAGTATTTTTTCTTCACTTTAATTAAAATGTTTACATTTAAAACTGAAACAAGAATTGTTAAAATAAAGTACTACAAACCTTGGAGAATTCTCTTAACACCTGCTAAAAATCCATGAAAACTTTTCCAATATATTAGACCATTCAAACCAGAAACAAGTTGCTGCTTTTAGTTGCACTTTCCAACTAATAACTGTAAAGTTGTTGAAAGCTAAGCAATGAGTAAGAATTTACTTAATTTGTTTCATTTTTACAATGTGACTTAATTTGGTCAGTATGAAGAAACTACTTTTTCCTTTCATGAAAATTACTTTCCCTGACAACTTTGAATATTCTCTGGTAAAAAAAAAAAAAAAAAATTATTTAATTAATTTCCTCTCTCTATTGATGGTGCCCAACTTCCACATGGAATTGCAGATCCCCTGTCCACTGGATTAAACTCTGGGTCTCATGAGGTCAAATCTGAAATTCTGCCTCATTTAGAGTGGAAAATGTATTAGCTCATTCACCCACCAATGAATCCCAGCTCTCAGGCCCCTCAGAGCCGAACGAATCCCTTTTAAACACTAGGTCTCCAACACTGAATGCGATATTCTACAGGCCCCAATGGCTTACAACTCTACCTAACAAATGCTCCACTCCCTCACTTCTCTCATTTACTTCATTCTCACCTCCAAATGATTAAAGATAAATAAAAGTATAAATGAAGCTCGACAAAGTGATGACCTTAATCATTCCTAGCAATGACCTGTTACTGGAAGGCCTAGCCATCAATCAGAATCGGACTGATGAATTGCACGCAAGCTTTAAGCCTTGAACGGTCGCGCGAAGTAACACATAGGCCTCCCTTCGACCTAAACGCAATGCAGATCGAAGCGAAGGTACCTACTTCCTAGCAGCCCGGTCAGAAAAACCCCTTGGTTCATCGTGGGAAATCCTGGCGGGAATGGGATCGGGTAGGATTCCGTGCTCTTCCCTCCATTACCGGGAAACCACGTGCTCTCACACCATAGACGCCATCGCCCTTGACTTCGCACGTGGGAAAACGCGCGGAGTCTCACGGTGACGTCACGTCCACAAGGAGCTATTACACACGCTTCAAACTAGATGTCTCTCATTACGGAGGCGAACTAGAGCTCCTAGAGCCTGTCCAGTCTGGGTCACACTAAGATTGGTCTCGCTCACGTGAGGTAACCATAACATAAAGCCTAGCCGATCCAGTAAGGAGCCCCGCAGGGTGTCGGGACAACATTACTCCAACTATAAGTGGTTGGCATTTACGTGAATGTCGAATCTTCACGGTGTGAATTCAGGTTAGGCCTATGAAACTGCCGAAAAGTAAGTTGTCTAATAGGCCTTTTAGGTCATTCGGGGTAAGTGTGATCAATCCTCGTCGTTTAGTACTTACAAGTACTTTATGCCATCAACGAAATATGCACTGAGAAGTACTGTCATGCTAATCCAGGATTACACATCTCGTCAAATTTCACCGGTTCAACTGGAAGATGTTTCACTGAATATAAAAGTGCCCTCTTTCAACTCTTACTACTTAATTCGGTGCACCTCCTCCAACTTTCCCAACCTGATCAGTACTGCAGAAAGCAGATTCCAACCTCCTTAAAGCTGGTCCCACTCGCGGTTCCATAGGGAGACTGATCGCACCCGTGGGGGCGACCGCGACCCTTCCACAAGTCCTCGCGTCTCGCTCGCTCGTCGGCCTCGCTCCAGGTCTTCAAAGTTTCAACTTGGAGCCGAAGCCGAAGTTCCGTGTCTGGTTGACGCGTTGTGCAGCGACTCTTGAAATTGGGCTACATCGGAATTATTTGTAAGCACCATTGTCTTGGAATTTGCATTGCTTCCGTCAGCTGGCCGTACTTATTCCAGCCAATAAAAAAAAAGTCGTTGGGAGATTTCCTTCGTGCCGAAAAATGACAATTTCTTCAACCAGCTGCGAGAGGGTTAAACGCGATCACCGAAAGAAATCTGATGTCGGGGAAAAATGCATGCGGTTCTGACCGCACAAATAAATGGTAGAGATAGGTACCTTAGCGAAAAAAAAATAAATACCGTGTCTGCTTCCATTATCAGCCAGTTTAGTCAAGTCAAGAATAATTCAGTTCATGCCAGCAGAGGGCCCATATCTTTGCTCATTATTTCAGGCACAATTATTATTATTATTATTTCAGCTCGTTACGTATCTGATTTCCTAGGATGCAGAGATGCTTGAAGGAAGTCTATAAAATATGAAATAGGTAAGCCGGAACTTTCGAGAAAGAAAGTGGAAGTATTTTGAATTAAATCATGATGCGAATAAATAAATTTAAAAAGTTGAATAGAACTTTCTACATAGTCGTCGGACACATCGGAGACCCAGAGGGAACCAACTCAGTGGGATTCAGCTGGCTTGAAACTGGCATCTGGCCATGAGGAAGTACATTCCGAAGGTTTTTCGTTAGTGTACGGTATATGCATCGTGGAGACGGAATCCACTCTCGACGAGCGTGACTCATTTGAGGAAATCGGAGCGATTTAAGGAAGAATTGACAGGGGGAGAATAGGAGGATGTGCGCTGTGGAGGGAAAATGGCGCCCTTTGCTCAGGTTTCTCCAGGCTCTATCCCTCCAGAGGCTCTAGTTCGCCTCCGTAATGAGAGACATCTAGTTTGATGCGTGTGTAGTAGCTCCTTGTGGACGTGACGTCACCGTGAGACTCCGCCTGTTTTCCCACGTGCGACATCAAGAGCAAAGGCGTCCACTGTGTGAGAGCACGTGGTTTCCCGGAAATAGGGGGAAGAGCACGGAATCCTACCCCATCCCAATCCGCCAGGATTTCCCACGATGACCCAAGGGGTTTTTCTGACCGGGCTGCTAGGAAATAGGCACCTTCGCTTCGATTTGCATTGCGTTTAGGTCGATGGGAGGCTTATGTGATACTTCGCACGACCGTTCAAGGCTTAAAGCTTGCTTGCAATCCATCAGTCTGATTCTGATGGATAGCTAGACCTTCCAGTTACAGGTCATTGTTAGGAATGATTAAAATCATCAATATGTCGGGCTTTATTTATCATTTATTTATCATTTGGAGGTGAGAATGAAGTAAATGAGAGAAGTGAGGGTGTGTAGCATTTGTTTTGTAGAGCTTTAAGCCGCTGGGCCCTGCAGAATATCTCTCCAGGGGCCCTTAGGCGAACGACTTCCGCGGTGGAAACTCCATGCATAATCAGGGCCGCTTCTGGGGGCAGGCGAAGAGGCCGATCGCCCAGCGGCCAGCGGAAATAATAATAATAGAATAAAACAGGCTTTTTTTATGTGGTTAGCGTCGACTTCACGCGAACTACAAATTATCGGGACGATAGAAGAAGTAAAATTATACCTCGGCTTTCCAGTCGCTCGGGCGGGATCAGGTCGAGTTCGCCGCCAGGGATCATCGCATGCGGAGGATCCGATTCATCGCAGAGGAATGCAGATGCGAGGTGACTCACCCGATGAAAGCGGGATGGGTGTGGGTGGATGCCGTCGGCTGTTCCTTGTGTTTCATTGGTGATCAGCATCACCACCGTGGTTTATGGGAAATACGAAAACGCTGCTTTTTGGGAAATTCTTGTCTTCTCACTGCTGCCTCATTTTGCAGCATCCAGCACCATTATGTTTTTTTAAAATGAATTTTATTACTTTTTAAAGAAAAATTCCTCTTTTTTCACCAATATACCAATTGGTACTAGGTACAAGATTGTATCCAACTGAAATTAAGCGAAATGTGAGGTTGCCTCTATAGGGTCATATTACTTTTGCATCGCCCTGTAGTTTGCATTCTTTGCACGAATGAACCAGGCATCCACTTAACTGACAACAGAGCATTAATACATCACGAAATGATGTATTAACAAAAGTCCTTCGCTTGACGATTATTTCCAGTGCTTCCTCACATTGATAGTGCTTCCTCACATCGACGGTGCTTCTGCCAAGGCTAAAAAAGAATTGAACTGATGTGAGCAGGACTGATGGACTTTCTGCAACTGGAATCGCCATTTCAGCTTATCGTGGACAAAGTCGGCCCAGTCTTTCTATTGGCTTTCTGTGCAATTTCGGAGAAAGCTAGAGCAAATCTCGTCGGAATTCGCCTGCGCCTTTTCGTTTTCTGCGTTTATATCGTGGCTGCTGACGCAATGGACGATTTAGCAAAAAATATCTGGGAAAGATGTTATCTAAGCTGTCGGGTCGGATATTGCAAAAATCTCGGGAGCGTGTAGAAAAACTCATTCTTCGCACATTTCCACGCACGCATGCACTTTTGCACACTTTTCTCGTAACTTTCTCATTTTCGCCGTCACGAAGTACTGAGATTGCGAAGGGAACCTGAGAAAAAAAACAAGAGGGCAAAAAAAAATTCCTTCGCGCGTTATGAAGCGCGAGATGAAGTCGAGCAAAGAAACCAGGGCATTTCCCGTGACGCAATCCCCCCACACACACTCGGCATTTACTTATTCCTTAATAATTATAACAATAAATATTCGGAAATGGAAAGGAGAAACGCCTCGAGCACCTTAAAATCATGCGGAAATTAATCAGTGTCAGTGCCGCGGAGTGAACAGGCCTTTCGCATGAAATCCGTCTTGACGCTAAATTTCTCTGGTCATTCGTGCAGACTCCTCCGTGAACTCGCCAACTCCTGGCATCATCCCGAGGACATCTCATAGGAATCAGCCAAAGCTCGTATTTCGAAGAGATTCGGGAACATTTTCGGTTCCTAAAATAGAAGGAAGGACGTTTTCACACGCGATGGAGAGTACGAAAGTGAAATTTTTGCCTTCAAAATAACGATTTAGGCTCTCTGCCTCTGCGTCCGAAGGCGACGATATGGAATTTGATACATCAATAGCAATAAATTTACAAAATAATTTCAAGCAATCTGCAGGCCGGTATGCGAAGACGAATACTGAAATATCTGGAAGTATATGCAGTCATACGTGAAATTATTATTTTCTATAGCTCATTAACATATAAACCAAACATTTTCATGGTAACTTCGCACAGCAATATACTAGGAAATGCAATGCGCTTCAACGTACCTTATAGGAAAAGATCTTGAAAGAGACTGCGTAGTCGTTGATTGACGAAGAAGAAGAATCTCCAGCTTGTGTCCCATTCATGTAGGCTGCTAATGAAAATACATGTACTAATGGAGAGAGCTATGGCAATATCCCAGATGGCGAAACACTACTTGGCAACATCGCCGATCGCGAAAGTAGAAAGGGGCGTGTCATAAAGTAGGAAGGAGAGATGAAGACTTCATGATAGGAAGTGGGAAGGGTTCAATTTCCACTTGACCGGAACATAGTGTGAAGGGAGTCAGACCGATATAAAAGCCAGGATAGCGTTCTGGGAGAGCACAGAATCTCCAGGAGCCGAATCGAAGTGAGAAAGTGGGAGAGATGAGAATGCACTGGGTCTTCGCTTGTGCTGTGCTGGTCCTGGTCGCCATGGCGGCAGCCGGACCGAAACCGGAACCCAGGGCACTGGCGTTTCCCCATGCCAAGCCAGTCCCGATCCCGTTCCCCGGGGGAAGTTCGTCCAGCAGCGGCGGCGGCGGAGGCGGCAGCAGCAGTAGCAGCGGTGGCGGAGGCGGCGGCAGCAGCAGCAGCAGCAGC